TTGATTTTAAGGTCGTCCTACTTGTATACAAAGCCCTACATGGGCTGGGACCGAGCTACATCGCTAACTCGCTTGTTAACTATTTGACTCCAAGAACACTGCGATCATCTGCTGCTGGTTTATTGGAGGTTCCCAGAAACAGCCGAAAGAAGATCAGGGATGCAGCCTTTGTCAGTGACACCCCAAAGCTATGAAACACACTGCCTTTAGATATCAGGGAGGCTAGCTCGCTAAATATTTTTAAAAGAAAGCTAGAAACATATCTGTTCACTTTAGCCTTTAACTAGCTCTGACTTTCCTGATACAGGTCTGAAACTCTTTCTTTTTATGCTTTACACTTCACTCTGTTTTCATGAGTAGCACTCAGTGCTTCTACTGCCCTCATTGTAAAGCACTTTGTGCTGCATTTCTTGTATAAAAAGTGCTATATAAATGAAGTTTATTATTATTATTACTCTTATTATTTTGCAAGTAAAGGCAAAGGGGGGCTACTGATACTTTAAAGAGCACATTCACATGAAGATCTTGTGGAAGTATACATGGGAAGATATAATATCTAGAATGTGCAGAAGCAGCAGTACAGCATCCTAAGTAACCTATTTGGTCACTGTCCTAGACGAAAAGCTTAAATTTGATGCAAATATGTCATATGCTTTCAAGAAAGTTGAGAAATTTAATGTGGACATGACACTTGTGAAAATGTTTTATTCTTTTACTGGGTCTTTCCTTTCTTTTTCTATGATTTGCTGGTCTTAAAAGGAACAAACTGGAAAGAACTGTCAAGCTGTGTTGTAAGATTTCTGGTGCTACCTTTCATGACCTTCGGCACTTGTGTAAAGTGAGGGCCGTCTCAAAGCCACAGACTATTGTTTTGGACCCTCAACATCCTTCACATGTTGAGTCCAGATGCTTCAGTTAGAGAGGAAGTTTAGTCTCCACAAAGGTAGCACCGATAGATACAGAATGTCATTAGTTCCATTTACTCACGTAACCCAAGATGTCACATCACTGTGTCTTCTTTTTCCACGATTTACAGTGTAGTGTAGGAGTTACAGCTCTGTCCTGCACTGTGTGTGTTGTATCCTATGTGTTTGCGTTGGACTACTTTCTGTACACCACTTCAGGGACTGTGTTTTGAAACTTTTAATATTTAAATATATACTCTTCACATCCCTTGATAAATGTATTTTTTGCACGTTTTTGCACATCCTGCACAAAACTGTAGCTTTCGCATTCTGTAATGGCTACATATTTATTGTTTGTTGCTGTTCATATTTTTACTGTATTCTTTCCATTCTATATTTATGTTGTTCACTGTTGCAGTGTAGGTTTAGGTTCAACAGAAATATACAACAACAAAAGAAGAACAAATTGTGTAGGTGAGATTATGAAAGGAATCTCACCTCAGTAAGCATAATAAGCAAATACAAAAGTCCCGTAAGTAAACAAGCAGGCAAACAAAGGGTGGAGAAGCAAACATAAAATAAGCAATGTTAATCAACCAAAAACATAAAATAATAAAAAATAGAATAACGAAGTGGGAGTGTGTTTGTGTATGTATGCGTATTAGGGAGTATGTGTATGCGTGTGTGTGAAATTCCTTATAAGTGAAAACCTACTTGGTAATAAACCTTATTCTGAATCTGATACACAGTTTGTAAAAAGAAACCCTCAGTCCCATTACAGTCGAGAGTAATGCAACAAATAAACATCTAGAGACAAAGAAGGAAAAATATATAATAATTGAGGAAAATAATATTTTTAACTATTTAATAACTATTTTTTCCCCCCCAATTTACATTATTGCCATCTGTCATTGGGAGCAACGTTATAAAGGAGAGGGGGCACATTTGTAAAGTGAGTAAACATGTATTAAGACTCTAATTTAAAGCCCAGTTTTTTGTTAATGAGAAACTCTATGTTATTAACACTGCTCAGTTCATATAGTCATAAATGCATGGCAAAAAACAATAAATGTCCTACTTTGAAATAATATTAATGATCTAATTGTTGCCTATGATCAGATTATGGGATGACAGGCTCCTTCAGGCAGACATGTTAAAGGCCACCTCCCCACTTCACAAAGGGACAAAACACAGAGACTGAAAGAGACACAAAATGACTACAAATGACACATCCGAACAGCCAATGTATTTTTCCATGTAAAAAACTATAATTTAAAATTTTTAGGAGAGAACTACTGAAAAATAAACTGCACTGGACAGTCTAAAGTGTTTATAGGGACATTTTTGATAAGTTGAGGACAGAGGGTGTAAGATTTTTTTGTCCTTTACCCCTCAGGGCTGATCTAAGATTATTTAGATATTGACAAAAAAGGGAAACATGGAGTCATAGAGAAAGTTGCCACTGTTGGCTCATGAAATGGACACTGTTTGTTTGTTGCTCTGTTTATGATGGACCCTTTATTTAAAGACTTATCTTTATCTTTATTATAACTGCACCTGCTCTGAGTGATTTACTGAGAGACTAAATAGCTATTGCCAAACCCTCAACCCTGCGGAAAAGATCATATCTATCAATAATGATCAGAGAGGCAGCCCTCAAAGGTAAAACCTGCAGCAGCACTGTCTGTCTATGTATTTGGTTTCCTCTTGAGCCCAATCCAGAAAGATTACGGTACTCAGTGTGTAATGCTAAGTATCAAGCAGAAGTTGGTGTTACTCGATAAGAGCTGTTTAAATATGAGCTTTGTTTGCCATCTAGTGGTTCTGCTTTGATATTACAACTGGAGCAAAATTTGTAACATGATATTGTGTAGGAATGTTTCTTCAGAAATTAATATATTTACTTAATAATATTTGCATTTGATGGCTTGCTTGAGATGGGGGCACACTGTGGTATACTGCAGAGTTGGCTCCAAGTCATTGTTCTGCAAGTCACAAGTGAGGGGCAGGCAAGTCCCAAGTCCTAAACTTTAAGTTTTGAGTCCTAAGTAAGTCATAATGTACCAGAGAGCCAGTGTTTGGTTTGTCCGTTCTGGACGTCCGTAGAAACATGCCGGTGCAACATGGCGATCTCTATAGACAAGGACCTGCTCCTTATGCAGATATAAATGGCTCATTCTTAAGCCCAGTTCAGATCAAAGATTCACGACAAGAATAAACCGTTTTAGAACGCTACAGAGAAAAGTTGCAGTGGTGTGAACTGGCTGGTCTGAGCTTGACTCAAGCTGGCTGATGGTGTCACCTGTAAATTAAGAAGCTACAAATTATATTCAGCCACAAAATAAATCTGAAAAGCAAATCATTGGTCTGAACTGGGCTTATGGTAACAAAGCCATGATGATTCTTATTTTCAGATGATTATACACTAAAGAAAACATACTTATACTATATTCCATATTCCCCTAAATCCTGCACAGTGGACCTTTAAAAAGTGAAAATAAATTATTCCTCATTTATCTGAGGACCTGCTGGAGCTTCCTCAAGCACCCTTGGGAACCCCTTGTTGAGAACCACTAATCTAAAGGGTACACTCAGGTCCTCCAGAGCAATACTGAGCCTCTTCTCACAATGAGATGGTCAAGCCTATACCAAAGATACCCAAACTACATCAAGTGCTCCTTATTAACTTGTAAAAAAAAAGTTTATGAGCAGGCAGCTTCCCTCAAATGGCCCAAAGGTGTTGCTTGTGAATCCTCATTTTGTAGCAAGTTTTGTACCACTTCATAATAATACCAGTAATGAACTATTATTGTATAAAGGCTTTTGAGGATGCTCTCCCTTCAGGTATTTTGTATGGGTGTGATGCTTGGTTAAAAGCGTCCTTGAAGTCTGTTGAATCTGGTCTACTACACCTAACCTGCTTGTTGGAGGAAGGACTCTCTTCAGTGCAAAGCTTTATTGAGTGAAAAGCAAGCCAGGTTTTTGACCAAGATGGAGCAGTGTCAGGGTGTGCTGGATGACCCCTTGTGGTATGTTCTGGAAATGATGAGAAAGAGAATCAAGTCATGAACTCATACTTGTGTGAGAGATAACGGAGAAACAAGATCATATTGAGAGTGACCGCAGAGAGATGATTGAAATATTAAGATCTAAAGAGGGAACAAGATACCACACCGACCAAGCTGAATATCTGTTCATCCACTTTATACCAGCAATACACCCTACATTGACGACCATCTGAGACAAACTTATACATGGTTCCGGTTGTCTTTTCACAGATTGCTAGTGTAAATGGGGAGGTGGAGCCTTACACCACCAGAACAATGTGAGTGTTGCTGTATGATAGGCATACAAAATGAAGAACAAATACTGTGCCCTCTTACACAGGATACCTGTGAGAAATATGGACAGGACTCCACTGAACTGAACTCACTCTTTATGGACACTGATAAAAGAATCTTAGTCATGGGGTCCCCTGGCTTTCACTTGCAAAATGTCACTCATATTAATATGTACTGACCAGGAGGAGACTCACAATAACCACAAAACAGGCATAACAGTCACAAAATGACCACAAATGGACACAAAACAACCACAAAGAAACCAAAAGGAAACACAAAATAACCTCCATGTGACACAAAATAACCTCAAAAAGACCCAAACGACTACAAAGAGACCACAAGGAGACACAAAATCACAAGAAGATGCAACTACAAAGAGACACAGAATGACCACTAGGAGACACTAAATCACAAGAAGATGCATAATAACTACAAGGAGACACAAAACCACCACAGAGTCTGTGTGTCATGCTCCTGTGTAGGGGAGGTGGTGGGGCCCTTTGCATATCTGTCCCAGGGGCTCGTTAACAATGGCTGTGAGGTTTCTGTGGGAAAGTCCTGTAGGCAAAACTGCGGTTTTGCTCTTTTATGCCACATTGTCTCACTTAGTGGAAACTGTATCAGATCAACACTGGTTATCAGTTCAGATGTAATTTGAATTTCTGTCTCTTTATCTATTTGCCTAACAAGTAGAATTGTTGAAGATAACCAGTTAGCACAAGTAGTAGAAAGTACAAAGAGAAAAACACATTTATACATTGTGAAAAAGAGCTTTTATTTGATACCAGATTACATGGCAGGCAGCTTTACTCTTATTCACGCTGACATCCAAAGATGACTTTCTCTTGCAAAGCATTCAATTTAAAAAGCTTTGTGATGTCATGGTAAGACATTATTTCATGCCTTTAGACTCAGCAGAGCTCCAGATTTCATCACATTCCCTGTTCACCACCAGTTTGCCGTCATCGGTCAGTTGAAGACGGCACATGTTGCAGTCAGATTTGGCAGAGTTTGTGTGCCACCTGGGTTCATCACACTTGTTGTACATGACCAGGTTGCAGTCAGCCTGCATGCACAGGCGATGAGCGTCTGATCCATAAGTGTCTGAAGCCCACACAGGCTTCCAGCCATAGATGACAAAGTTACCATCATCCTGTAGGCAGAAAAAAAGAGACATCGGACTGTTGTCCAAACAATATCACAGCAAAATATGTAGTCATAAGCTACCATAGCATTTAACTTTAAAGTGAGATTCTCACCTGGAAAATAGCCTTCCACTGTCCGTTGTTGGACAGCAGGTAGTCTCCCCTGCGGAGCTCATCATTTTTGGACAAGTAGTTCCTGCTCATGATTCTGAAACCAAGGAACAAAAACAATTAAATCTGAAATATTGTATCGGATTAAAAAAATACTAGAAATACACTGAAAACACATTTTTGGCATATATTTTGTGCTGAACCAGAAAAACGCACTAATACCTGCTAACATCTGGCTTTTTAATGCAATAGGAAAGGTTTTAATCAGCATTCACACCCGGGTCAAAAGACTGCAGTAGGCATAGGTATTTATCACCTCCGACTCTGATCAGCACACATGGGGACACATCACCTGGGTGAATGCACTAATTTTAGCTCCTTTACAGGCAAGATGCAATGATGCGCTGTCATAAAATTCTATCCATCTCTATCCAAGCAGCGCTTAAACATCGATGCAAATTAGTTGGCACCCAGTTTGAAGGAGAGACTGAAAAAGTTATATATATAAAAAGAAACAACCACGGCAACATTTTCACTGGCCTCTTTGCTCCATTCTACCGTTTACTGATCTGGCCTGTCCATGATGTTGAACATGACACACACAAAACAAAAACCACACAAAAAGTCGCAATAGTCTGCTGCAGAACTGTGTACACAGCACGGATCTACTGGCAATGGGAAAGGAGACCTATTTTTAGCAGGTTTACTCGTGTTTAAAAAGCCTGCGTACACATGCTAATTTTGGTGGAAAAGGGGTATATCTGAGTGGATGCTCTTCTTTTGCTTCCTACATAGAAAATAAAATAATAATTTGTACTGAATCCACCAAATTGAGCCTGATGTATCTTTTATAAACAGATTTAACCGCATCCTGCAATAACTCTGCATCAAACTACTCTTGCACAGTGATGTATGAAACAAACAGAGTACTTACGGTCTTGAATGTCACACCAGTCAGTCTGTGGGTAGAAGTGAAGGTCAGTTGGTCAGTTCATTTTTATATCATCTGTGCTGTAGATGGAAAAGGAGTGGTATGAGGCACAGTGTGATAAACTGGAATTCTTAGTCAGCAGTCCTGAGCCCTGTTTCCCTAGAACTGTTTTCGATTAATATTATTCATTTACTGTGCAACAACAGCTGCTCAGCCATAAATTCTACCTTTACAAATAAAAAGTAACCCATCATATTTATCATTTACTAGTTATTCAGCGCTCTCTGCAGTCTGAACCACTGCACGATTGTTCACTGTTCACTAAATTAATTGCTGTATGCCTCCCCTTTGTTGTATGTACAGTGAGAGCAACAGAAATTGGGGTGAGATTCCTTGTATGTCCACAGCCAGCCAATAAAACAATTTCTGATTTTGATTTTGATAATAATGTAGACTGACATTGTCAGAAAACTAGGGCTGCCCCTGACTAAGAATTTTCCTAGTCAGCCAATAGTTGTCATTTAAGGTCATGAGTCAACTAGTCACCCCCATGTTCACAGTATTAATTTAATAATTAAACTATATATTTTGGGAGGGGCAACACAATGGTTTGAGTTCAAGGTCTGAGAGAGAATTGTATCAGTAACAGTTAACACTGTGCTACATTACAGAGATATACAAAATATACTAATTAACCTTAATCATTATAGCCTCCTGAGACCCAAACTTTTGTTTGGTATGCTTTTTTAATTTCTCCTAGCTATTTGGCATCAGTAGGACCCAATAAGTATAAATTACTAAAAGTTGTCAACAATAACTAAGTCCTAATATCCTCAAACAAGACGATAATAAAGTCCTCATGTCTTCAAACAAGTACTTCCCTATTAACAGTAACCTAGCTTGTTACTGTTGCCAAAATTGGTCAAATGTGTTGCCATATCAAAGTATGAACATTGTTAGTTTCTACCATAAAATGTGATCAGGTTTTGGACCTTGTCCATTTTTGTGTCGGGATCGGCTGCAGACTGACTTCGCAAAGATGGCTGCCATCTTGTTTTTACATGGATTAGTGTATTGTGCTCTTACTACCATTAGATGACATAAAAGTGTCCACGAACAAGGGTAACAGGTCTAAGTTAAGCAGAATAAAGTCTAAGATCAAGTAAACCCAAAATGTGATGTCCTCATATGAGGACACAGGGTCTCAGGTCACACGTCAAGTGCACATCACACACTAAGCGAGCAGCCTGTTAATACACTGATATCAAAAATCTCACTGTTTTATGGCTCCTCTGTGTGGAGAGGAGTGGACCCTCTTTAGCTTTCTTCCACAGTCATGAACCATGTTGGAGCTGTTTATTATTTGTTTTAAGTGTTTGATTTATTCTAGATAGTCACTTTATGTAGATTAAGGTTAGATATTTTCTTGTCTAGCTATTTGTTTTTGTTAATTAGTTTATTTTGAAAGGACTGGGCAGCAGTATGGGCACATACACAGGCAGGTATGGGATCAGCATGTACCTGAGAGGGTCTCTGTTGTTTTACCAGAGTAACAGGGGCAGACAGAGCCATGCTTTCTTTGTTTGCATGACTGCTAAGGTTACATAAACATGAGAAATTGAAAAACCCATAGACTTTTGTGTACAAGTCATCCCTATAGAGCATAAGAGGCCTTTCAAGATTTCAAGTTTGTTTCACGTTTAAGATTATATACAAAGAGCCACTACACACCATATTAAATCCATCAGCTGTACATTAAGCATTTTATTGATGACGTTTTGTCCATTAACATTACCTTTAGCCTCCTACAATGCCAAAAGAATTTCTTCGTAATTACTTTTAAAACAATAGAGACCGGAGCCGAAATATCAAAGTTTAACAGAATTTATTTTCTTGTACAAGAAGGAGTGTTTCACAGTGCAACACACAAGATGAGGTTACAGAGAAAAGGCTCCCCTGAGGAGTAACAGCTTCAAGTTTTTATACAGCATAGGTGGGCATTGAAATTTCAACCGTTTCAGTTCTCCTAATCTACCAAGTATAGACTTCATAGATAACAACAGTTTTCAGTTGGTGTGTCACACTGCCCTCCAGATGATATGTCCCTGATCTGTCTCCGACCCTCGGTTTCTCCCACTTCCTCTTACAGATGTAGTACTGAACTTTCCTTAACCTTAACTGTCTGCTGATGTTGCAGTGTTGCAGTACGAAACAGGAACAATCCTTCAGACTTGCACAAAATAATAGCATGAATAAACAGTGTGATCACAATTTTTATAATATACAAACATGTGTCTTTCTACATAAATGTAAACTGTCATTATCAGCTTGGGAGAGGTGGAATATGTGGCAGAGCTATTGCACGGGATTGCATTAGATTAGTGTGTACCTAATAAAGTCGCAAGGAGTGTAGATTCTCAGGAAAGACATACAGTCACACCTTTTTCAGTTTATGAACCGAGAGGCTTATGAGGGGATGAGATGCAGGTGAGGGAGTGAGTGGGGAAGGCCATGCAACTGCAGGGTACATTAGGGAAATGGGAACAGATGGGTGGATGGGTGGGACAGTCAGGTGTTGAGGACGGAAGGGAAAGTTCGAGGGCATCTGGTGGACGAATGGACAACAGCAAAAAAGGGGCTTTAATCAAGTAAACTTCAGCAAAGTCAATTGAAGGGTCGAGCTATATAAAATAGAAACCATTGTATGCTACACCAGACAGACTTGCTGATGAGTAGCTGGAGAACATAGTGGAACATTCACAAAAAAGGAAACTAAAATGAGGTAAAACTAAAAGGAGACTAAAACTAGAGACCATCTTGCAATGGAATCACTCCAGCTGTGATCCTCGACTTAAAACACATATGTGCCAGGGGCATAAATTGGAGGGGCAATGGCCCCTTCCCTACTTTCTGCCCCAGTGGCCCCCTTGAACTTGGCCTTTATTGTGATCTTGACTACACAGCTATAAACAAAGCTATTAAATAAAGAATGGGACAGGCTCTCTTACCCAGTGGGAACTAACCAGTATTACAAATGCGCAATATAACTAAACTAAAACTAAAGGGATGATGTCCGCTAAGGTGCCCTTTTCAGGTGCACTTTATTTAGCCTGTTTGGGTGCTTTAGGCCTGACAGAAGTTTTTGGGTCTGCTTAAATGGATGGCAACATACAATAGGACATTTTCATATAGAAAGCATTTGTTCATGGTCTTCATTATGGACTTTTTCAATAATAGCAGAATTGTAATTCTCACCCCTTATCTTTATTTTTTTGTACAAAATATATTCCGCCCCAAGGTCAACTGTGGATGCCTCAGTGTAATAAAGAAATCATCCCTGTTTCAGGAAAACAGGAAATAGGAAAAATCAGGGACTCAGCGATAGAGTGCCCCAGAAATGAGTAATAAGACCCGGAAATGAGTTAACATTTTAGGACTATCCTTTAGAGACTTTCACATTTTGTTTTACAGCATTAAATAGATCTGTAATAACCCAATCATTAATTTGGAAGCTTGCAGTTGTCTTTAAAAAAAAAAGATGGTTGCTAACAAGTAGCTAAACTAGACTACAGAATGTCATCACGGCAAACATAGCTTTACAGCCTTATTGTGGTAGGGATGTCAGTTCATGTGACCATGATGTAGATGGTTTATAGCCTACTGTTAGTCACCTTTTTAGCTCTGTTTTACCTACTTTTTGCACTTTTTTGCCATTTTACTTAGTTTTAGTCTCCTTTTAGCTGATTTATCTAGGTTTAATCTCCTTTTTTTCACTTTTATAAGTTATGAAGCCTAAATGATTGTCAATCCAAATGGCAAGGAAAACCAAAGAATACAGGTCAGCAGGTTCATTTATCCCTCATTTGCTCATTTAATCATTTTACAAACATTCCCCATAAGGCTTCCTTGTTCCACTCAGCAGAATAGGTCCAAAATCAACAGAGTAATCAGCCACAATCCTGTTTCCCTGCCAAAAACTTTACAGACAGTTAGATGCATTCCCTTGAAAACCTGGGTGGTCAAACACAGCCTCATCTTGCTAACAAAATCTTCATAAGACCAGGTTCCTACAGACTGACTTCAATAAATTGCTTTTGCCCAAGCCAATGCTCTTTCTGTTAATAACCCCAGTAAATATTGTACCTTGGATTGATATGAAGCAAACATTTGAGGCCTTTGCTGGAAGACCATAGCAAATTATCATTAACAGTATGAACACAGACTCACACACAGAATCACTCTGTCATTTCAAAGTGATCCATATTAGCGCTCCATCTCTGCTGTGAATGATTCATTTAAAACTGTAATGTTTTATCTAAATCACGTTATTTCAAAAATCTCATTATGTGGCAATGGACACATTGTAAAGAGTAAATTGTGAGGTTTCTGTCAATATTTTTTCACGCTTTTATGATAAAAACTGGTGGAGACATTAATCCAATTAAATGACATCTAAATCCTGCTGAGCTCCGCTGGCGCAGGGTTCATTGACGAGGCCCCACCCTCACTTCCAGCAAATCGTGTACTGTGCAAAGCATTGTGGGGATTTTATACCCGTGGAGGATCCACACATGCATCCTTCGAATTTCTCTGAAAGAAGGACTCAGTCCTTTGTGAAACTCGGAAGGATCCTTGACATTGGAACAGTCTTTCGGCGGGGGTCCGTGACGTAGCGTCCTTCAAATTCGGCCGTTAGAGGATCCATCTTTGACCTTGAGAAACACCTACAGAGACTTTATGCATCCTCCGAATTTCTCTGAAAGAAGGACTCAGTCCTTTGTGAAACTTGGAAGGATCCTTGACATTGGAACAGTCTTTTGCCAGGGGTCAATGACTTGGCGTCCTTCAAATTCGGCCGTTAGAGGATCCATCCTTGACACTGAGAAACACCAACAGACTGAAAACAAACATGAGGCAGTAGTTGGTCGTGGACTTCCCACGTCAAGATAGAGACGTGCAAGGTAGCATGGTTGCATCAGTTCTTGATGTTCTGGTACACCGTGTCAACTTTTCAAAATGCCCTTCCGTTTTCACAGAAAATGTACAGTTTGCATACAGTCTCCTTCAAAATAAATGTACAACATCAGTTCAACACCAGCTTTGGCTTTACATTCATATGGGAAGCGAACACCGGCCTCCCCGGGTGAAGGTCAGTGATTGTTGGACCCATCCTCAGACCCTCCTGTCCAC